ATTGCAAACCATACATCTAACCCGAAAAATTCGCAATCAAATGAAATCCCACATAATAGAATTATTCTAACAGATTCTTCCATGAAAGCCCTCATGAGTACCCTATAGTTTCAACAAAATGCCGGTGAATGTGTATATTGATTTTTAACTGCCACGAAATCAAACTATTTCAATAGACCTTCGATGAAGTAGACTAAAATATCTCCAAAATTTTTATGGATAAACCTTGACAAAAGGTAAAAGAGAGATGTCAAAACTCATGTTTTCCATTACTGGTGAATCGGTTTATATACAAGAGGAACTTTTAATAAGCCTTTAAATCAAGGATACAAGTTGATATTATTGATACTAAATAGAATACATATCAAAGATAAATATGGAATGTAAATATTTGCAGTTGGTAATGTCTGATTTCATCCAATACGACCCTCAATTTTGAGCATAGAGATTACGAATGCCCAACTTGCCAACAAGAAAGTGAAATTGTTATTGCCTAGAGCTTTGGTGAAGATGCCAACCAATTGTAGATATAAAGAAACATGTGGCATGGTGATGGAGCCAGATTTAATGCAATCGTGAATGAAGTGACTGTCGATCTCAATATGATTTGTGCATTCCTAATGAACTGGATTAACAACAATATGTATGGCAGTACGATTGTCACATTGTAGTTGAGCGAGGAAAGGATGATTAATTGTCAAATTGTTAATCAAGGTACGAAGCCAAATGAGTTTACAAGTAGTAATAGCCATAAAGTGATATTTAGCTTCAGTTGAAGAGCAAAATACGGTAGATTTTCCAAAAAATGGGAGAATGGGCAAGAAAAATAAGATAACCAATAATTGAACGTCGTGTGAGAGGACAACCACCCCAGTTTGAATCACAATAGGCATGAAGATGAAAATCAAATCTGGAGGAGAGAAAAACACCTTAACCAAGGATAGATGTAAGGTAACGCAAGACTCGAAGGGCTGCCACCCAATGTCCATGTCTTGGTTGATTCATGAATTGAGAAAGAATGTAGACTGAATAGCAAAGCTCTGGTCTAGTGATGGTTAAATAAATGAGTCTATCAACTAGACGGTGATAAGTACATCTATTATGAATGAGAGCGCCATCGTCTAACGCTAATTTGTGATTATATTCCATAGGAAATGACATGGGCCTGGTACCAAGCAAGCCTACCTCTTGTAGTATATCCAATGTATATTTATGTTGAGATAAACTATGTCATAGGAGATCGATCCATCTCTAAGCCAAGGAAATATTTGAGAGCACCGAGATCTTTAATGTGAAACCGAGTGTCCAAATATTTTTTTTTTAGAGCAGCAATGTGTACTGTTGTTGTTAGCAATAATAAAATCATCCAGATGCACAAGTAAATCAGTGAATGAACAACCCTTGTGATATAAAAATAGAGAAGTATCTACCTTAATTGGGTAAAGTCAAAGTGAAGGATAGCATTGGAAAATTTGGCATACAATTGTTGAGATGCCTATTTCAAACCATAAAAGGATCTACAGTGTCGACACACTCAATTGTCAGTTGAGGATAAGTATCTAGGAAGTGGTGTTATGTAGACTTTCTCATTGAGGTTGCCATGCGAAAATACATTATGAAGATGAAGTTGGTGTCCCATGACTTGGCAATTGCCATAGCTAACAAAGTTCTAACCGTGGTAAGTTTGGCGACCAAGCGAGCTTTGTACCGCTCAACTATCCCATCAAAATGATACTTTGTCTTTGTAAAACCACCTTGATCCAATGGCCTTTTTGCAAGAAGGTAACTGCTCTAAACTTCATGTATGGTTTTGCTCAAGTGCTTCTAATTCCTTTTAAATTGGTTTTTGCAAGCAAAGGTCTCTAATGGCTTGTTTATAGGTCTTGGGCTCATCATTTTGGGTGATGGCCACAAGGAAATTGGTATGTGGTGAAGGAAATTTTGAATATGAGAGAAAGTTAAATAAAGGATAAGACGTATCGAGGAATCATTGTTGGAAGAAGTGAGAGAAAAACTATTATTTTGTGGCAAGTCAACATGAAAGTCACGAAAGTGGGATAGTAATTTTCTTTCATGGAGGGATATTGTGCTAGCAATATGAGAGGTTGATCAGGATTAAGAGTGTTAAGTAAATTGGTGGTCAAATGAGGTGTGTTGATTTCAGTGGGATGATTAGGATTTGTGATATCTGGGGTGTGATGTATAATATTTATGTTGGAATTTTGAGAGGATGGCACAGGTTCATGGTCAAGGACATGTAAAGATACAGTTATGGTTGTTGATGAATTGTGATTTAGAGAAAATGATGAAATTTTATCTTGGAAAGGGAAAATATTTTCATAAAATGCCAAATCCCTAGAAGCGAAAATTTCGTAAGTGGTTAAATCATATACATTGTACCCTTTTTGACCATGATGGTAGCCAACAAAAATGCAAGCAGTGACGTGTTCTTGGAATTTGTCTCTTGATCGAGGAAGGACAGAAGTATAGTGAAGATATCCAAATACGCGAAGATGAGAATAATTTGGCTTTTGAGAAAATGAAAGCTCATAAGGACTCTTTCCTAACAATAGGGTATGGGATCATAATTTGTCAAATATGCTGCCATTAAAATACATACTCTCCATAACTTAATGGATAAATTAGCTTGAAACCTTAAAGCTCTAACCACTTCAAGTACATGTCTATGCTTACGTTCTACCACTCCATTTTGTTAGGGCATGGAGACACAAGAAAATTGGGTCCAATTTGTTAACAAAATAGCTAATGAGAACCATTGAACGAAAGTTGGCAAGGATCCCCTGCAAGTTGGAAAAGGACCAATTGCGAGATCAAGAACAAAAAGGATCAAGGAAGTCATGTAATTCTACCCTAATTAGTGCATTTGATTCGAGCAAAGGAAGAAGAGGAGATTCCGACGAACCATGTAGCCTCAAGGGCTTGAAATGCATGTAGTCGCACCAGCTCAAAATTTCCACCTGAGAAGAAATTTCATTCTACCTTGGGGCCACAAGTACTATACAACTGTATAATGCAATTTTTAGGGGCATTTTCACGTTGTTCAGTTTTAATCAAACTCTATTATTTGATGTTATCTAGGAGTATTTCGGTTTTCTTCGATTTTTATGAGTTGCCCATATATGCCTCATTCTTTCATTGTAAATAAAAACCATTGTTTTGAGAGAATTAATAAAGCAAAATTTTCTTTCTACTTGTTCTTAATTAAACTCAATTAGAACTTATCAAAGATTTATACTCTTTGTAGCGTTCAACTCTTATAGCAAAGTTCGTGATTTTTGCAATTACGGGGTCAAGTTTAATCAATAACTTTGGTTCTTTGATTAAATAAATAATTGGGCCAAGTTTCAAAATCTGGTATTAGCATTCATCTTTTGTGGGTTCTCCTATTGCTACGACGGTTGACATCGATTAGTATCTGAACTTTGTCTCTAAAATTAGGTTTTTATCCTTTATCTTTCCTTGTTTTCTAATTACAGTTCTTCTTGTGTCTTCTTTATTGAGTCTTCATCAATTTTCTTGGTTTATTGCTCTTGTTCATCTTTCTGCATATTTAGTGTAGAAAAATAAAAATTGCAAAAAAAGCCAAGAAAATCCAAGAAAAAAAGCA